CAGAACCCCTGACCCAGGGGCCATGAATTTCACAATTTTGGTAGAGGCATTCTCATTCATTATAACTATGTACTTAGTTAGTTTGTTTCAAACCCAGGAGCAGTGAAAAAGATTTTCAAAAAGTCAATTTATTTTCACTATATAATCAATAGAGCCCTGCCCTAACACAAGAACCCCTGACCCAGGGGCCATGAAATTCACAATTTGGTAGAGGCAGCCTTATTCAACATAACTATGTACTGTGAAATCCCAATTTTTTGTGGGGGGGTTAATTTTTGTTGTTTTTAAGGTATGAAGAGACCCACGAATTCATGTCCACCACGAAATGTAAAATGTTACATACATAACTTCTCAAAAATTCTCCATCCACGAATTCAAATCCCCTGATCCAAAAGTTTTTACTCAAACCACGAAAATTTGACTCCATGGAAATATGTGATTTTACAGTACTTGGTTAGTTTATTTAATGCCAAGGAGCAGAGAAGAAGATTTTTAAAGAATTAATGCATTTTCACTGTATAATCAATAGAACTTCACCCTCACAACAGAACCCCTGACCCAGGGGCCATGAATTTCATCATTTTTGTAGAGGACTCAATGCTGATTAAAATCATGCCAACAGATTGACTGCTTGATGTCCAGGAGTATAGAACAAGATTTTTAAATACTGTATTAATCTTAGTGGTTTTGTCCCCATCCCTCATGCCCAGGGGGGCAGGGACCATGAAATTCACAATTTTTGTTCTCCTTAACCCATAGATGCTTTGTGCCAAAATTAGTTGAAATTGGTTGAGCAGTTGCAGAAAAGAAGCTGAAAATGTTCAAATGTTAACACATGAGGAACGACGCACAATGAAGTACAAAACCAGATAGCAATAGGTCACCTGAGTAACCTAACAAGAGGCCCAAGGGCCTTGAATCGCTCTTCTGATAAATTGTACAATCTATCACTTCTATTAGAAGCCTCCAACTCTATTAAAATCATAAGACCCAAAATGCATCAACTTACAAAGTTTGATAATATTTAGCCAGTTAAGACTGAAGATATTATAATATAATTATAAAATACCATAAGTAGGTCACAGTCACCAACCTTTTGCTTGAAATTTTCTGAGGACTCAAGATAAATTAATTGACAAAGACTGATGATTCTAATTAAATAAGTACTTGAGATATTCAAAAGTACTGTATAGGGGATTAATTTCACGGGTTGTAATTTTCACGTTTTTCTCTTCTTGGCACAATCACGGTTTCTTGAATTCCCGGAATTGGTATATATTAAAAGTTTCCTCCCTTATCTATACCTATTGAAAACTTATTCACTGTTTCTTGAATTCACGGATTCATTAATACCGTGAATATAGCGATTATTAACACCGCGAGTTATTTTCCCCCTATACAGTAGGTCACCATGACCTACTTTTTGGTCAACTTTCTCTGAAAACCCAAGATGCATCATCTGACAAAGTTTGACGATTGTAAGCCAATTAGTACCAAAGACAATAAAATATAAAAATTTTGGTCAACGTTATTAAAAAACCCATAATGCCAAAATTGACAAAATTTGATGATTCTAAGCCAACAAGTACCTGAAATATTCAAAATTAGGTCACCGTGACCTACTTCTTGTTGGACATTCAATGAAACCCTAAGATGCCTCAACTGACAAAATTGATAATTCCAAGCCATTAAGTACCAGATATAATTAAATATAGCCATAAAATGTCAAAAGTACCGTATTTGGCCGAGTATAATACGCATTGATGTAAAATACGCACCCCCCTTTTTGAGTCTGAAACTGGGGGAAAAAACGCAGTTCGGATGTATTATACGCAACAGAAAAATTTACCAAGCGATGTTCTGAACTATGAAAATCACGGTAATTTGTTACGAAAATCGGCGCGAGGATTAGGTGTCAAAAATTTACTGAACACACTTTTTTAAAATACACACTTTATAACTTTCTCTTAATCCTGACATTCCGTATCGCGGTAATCTGGAGAAAATTATTTATTCATTTATTTCAACAAAGCACAAGATAATGTTTCGTAAAAGTATTAACAGATTTTTTTAAAATAATAGTTACTGTGATTTTGAAATTATGCGTCGCCATATTCTTAGATGAAATAATTTTATTTCAACAAAGCAAGAGATATTGTCGAAAGTTTTATCAGTTGTCATATTTAATTTTGGTTCTAGATAATCATGCTTAAAATTATCTTACAATATTTTAACAGGAAACGAAATTGAAACATCAAAGTATTTATTTCTTTAAGAAGACTACGATTTTCCTCTTCTTAATCTTCGCGGATATCTTACTTTCTAAATGATACCACTTTTATTAAAAGTTTTAGCATAATTTATATTTCATTTCTCAACTCTCAATTATTTAAACAAGAGGCCGATAAGTATAAGATAAGGTAAAATTACATTTAACAAGTGTTTAATTGTTTAAGTGCCGTAATCAGCACATGCTCACCATGCTCACACATACGAAAGGTCATAAACCGACCCCCAATTTTTAACAAAGAAAATAATCACAGCAATTAACATGGCAGTAAATAATCAGTGCTCTAACTGTAAAAACATTGCTTTGGAGTCGGTAGACAATTAATTGCCCCGAGGGGTGTTGATAGGTAATTATCATTTGACCAGCGCACGCGTGTCACAACATTGGCTTCCTTTCATTGGGACGTATGGAGGGGTGTTAATATTGTTGCGGATTATCACTGAGTTATTTTAAACCTAAAATTAATATTTATTCTATTGTATTTCATTAAAAAATGATTTATTACTTTGTCTGGCAGATAAGGTGCATGTGCACTATCATTCCGGAAGCACGTGATATAGCTATGAGTGAACGTCTAAAAATAACATCGGTAATGGCGGCCTCCTCGGAGACAATCAACATGCAGCTCAAATTACTTTTAACTTACTTGTTCATGTTATTTGGGCATAAAAAGATTATGAAAGTGACATTTTTAAGAAGCATACCTTCCAACAAAAACTTTCCGAAGTTTAAAATATGGCAATTAACAAAAGAAATTGCATATGTCTCTAGGTAATACTACGGTATGTACGTATGATAGCCGTGTTTCACCTGAAAGAAAAACTTGTCAAAATCCCATTGTGATGTAAAATACGCATCCCTTTCTCACAGAAATTTATTTTAGAAAAAAAGTGCGTATTGTATTCCCCTAATTACGGTAGGTCACAGTGACCTACTTTTTGGTTGACGTTCTCAGAAAACCCAAGGTGCCTAAACTGACAAAGTTTGATGATTCTTAGCCAACAAGTGCCTGAGATACTTAAATATAGCCATAAAATGTCAAAAGTAGGTCACTGTGACCTACTTTTTGGTCGATGTTCTCCTAAAACCCAAGATGCATCAACTGACAAAGTTTGACGATTTTAGGTCAATAAGTACCAGAGATACTTAATTATAGTCAAAAAATGTCAAAAGTAGGTCACCATGACTTACTTTTTGGTCGCCACTCTCCGAAAACCCAAGATGCATCAACTCACAAAGTTTGATGATTCTAAGCCAATAAGTACTGGAGATACTTAAATAAAGCCATATAATGTCAAAAGTAGGTCACCGTGACCTACTTTTAGGTCTTCACTCTCCGAAAACCAAATATGCATGGACTCACAAAGTTTGATGATTCTAAGCCAATAAATACCTAAGATACTTAAATATAGCCATAAAATGTCGAAAGTAGGTCATCGTGACCTACATTTTGGTCGACATTTTTCAAAGACCCAAGATGCATCTACTGACCAAGTTTGATGATCGTAGGTCTGAAGGTAATCAAAGTATGCAATTTAAACAATTTGAAAACAAAGTCGGCAAAATTAAAAAAGTAGGTCACAGTGACCTACTTTTTCATAAATATGTTTTAGGGTCCCAAAATGCATCAAAGTACAAGATTTGATGATTCTAAATCTCCCAGTGTCTGAAATAATGGGATTTAATGTTTTTAAAAGGATAAGTCATAAAGTTCAAAAAGTAGGTCATGGTGACCTACTTTTTAGTTGACATTGCTCAAGGACCCAAGATGCATCAACTGACAAAGTTTGATGATCATAGGCCTTAAAGTGTCCAAAATATGCCTTCAAATCAATTTGAAAACAAATCCCCGCAAAATTTAAAAAGTAGGTCACCGTGACCTACTTTTGAGTTAACATGATGTGAAGTCGTAAGATGCATCAACTTACAAGAATTGATGATCCTAGTCCTTATAGTAAGCAAAATATACACGTTTTTATTAATTGTAAATTTAGGTCGACTTTGAAGTGACCTTGAGACCACGCCCTTTGCCCCAGGGTATTTCTGGGTGCAAATTTTAATTTTCGTCATATCCTGATCCTTGTACGTAAGTTTGGTTAAAATCTGCCTGGTGGTTATGCAGAAGAAGATTTTTAAGCAACCAGTACTTTTGGTTTTGCTTTCCTGATAACTGTAAATCATTTTTTATTTGCGAGAACTTTATTTTCGCGTAATTACGCGAGACGGTATGCTCGCGAAAAATTCATTCTCGCGTATAATAGAATTCCTTATTATTATATAGAGCGATGACCACAGTTCGTGAAAATTTGGTCTCGCTTATAAAGGGTCAATGACTATCTCGCGAAAATAAGGTGTCGCAAAAATTACGTGATCTACAGTATCTCCCCTTGTTTAAGAGTCCCAACCCTTATTTTAGTATAAATGGTAGCCCTTGGGCCAAGGATACCCTGTGACAAATTTGGTACTGATTGGCCAAGGGGTTCTTGAGTTATGGCCCATATTCTAAAAAGTTTACCGACACCGCACAAATGGCCATAGCATTAATGCAGCTCTTTGAGCCTTTGGCTCAGAAGAGCTAAAAAAATTGAAGCTAAAAAGATCAATTTCCTTCAAATACTGTACATCCTTAGTATAATACACTTATAGTAAGCTGTGAACAAATGAAATCACAGTTAGATGGATGGACAGACTGGTCAATAATGAACTTGTAGAGCAGGGCCCTAATAAAGGAATTCTTTTTAATCCTACAATCCATACGATTGTTTCTGCATCTGTGCTTGCTGCAGGAATTTGTTCTTGTTTTCCCTGATTCTTCTAAAGTCTTTGGGTTCTGTACACTCATTAATTCTGTGATCACCACCACAATTAAAGCAACTCTGCTTAGTCCTGGAAAATAACAAAAGGCCCATGGGCCACATCGCTCACCTGAGCACATTGGTTAGTTCAGTATTTTAAGAGTCATATAAACCTATCCCTAAGGGGATGAGGTATGATTTGAACTTGAATCTACACTGAGTATGTTACCATATTTCTTAAACATATCATGGCTTTAATTATTTAAAAATAGATTTTTTCCCCTATAAGCTTCATCTTCTATTGTGGCCCCCACCCTACCCTGGGGGTCATAATTTGAACAAACTTGAATCTACAGTACCTAAGGGTGCTTCAATAAAAATTGACAAATCATGGCTCTGCTGTTGTTAAGAATTTTTTTTTATTTTTAAATTTCCTAAGTATTCCTATGGAAAATTTGATGGCTCATTGTTGCCCACCATACTCCCAGGGGTCATGATTTGAAAAAACGTAAATCCACACAACCTGAGGATGTTTCCACATGAGTTTTATGACCCAGCGGTTTAGGAAAAAATGTTTTATCCAATGTTTTCAAAAAATTTTTCCAATATATTTCTATGTAAAACTTTGATCGTTCCTTGTGGCTCCACCCTATCCTGGGGGATCATAATTTGAACAAATTTCAATCTACACTACCTGAGGATGCTTCTGTACATAGGCAATTTAGCCACATATGATCCACATATGCATTGCCTTTCATATGAGGATAATATGTGGATCATATGAGAATCATATGTATATACAATCATATGTGAATCATATGTGGCAAATCATATGAGAATCATATGATCATACATAATGCTAACCATATGAAGTAATTATACATATGATTCTCATACGAAAGGTCCTACATATGAGAATCATATGTATTTTTTGGTAGTGGTCATGTGAGAATCATATGAAACTGATCACATAAGAATCATATGAAACCATATTCACTAAATTGCCATTGTTATACTCAGGTAAAAATCATATGAATATTTTGACAGTGATCATATGAGAATCATATGACAGAGTGATCATATGAGAATCATATAAAACAGTGTTCACTAATATGCCCTTGGTATACTCAAGTAAAATTGCAATTTCAATAATATATATCAATAGTTATTTAAATGTACATTAATTCAAAAGAATTTGTTAGCAATGACTTATACATAGTATGTAAAGTTCTACTCTGTTTAACCCTGCCCCCCCCTCTCCTTCCCCATTCCCTAAAAAAAAACCTTTCACAATTTTTTTTTTCTGTATTAATGCATTTCCCAGACAAAATTGATAAAGAATAAACTAGAAAACTGACCAGTCAGCAAGGGCCCCGCCATGGGGTAAAATTAAAAGGGTGCAGCCTACGGAATGATTAAAAAATGTACGATGAATAAGCAACAGCAACTGTATTCTTAAAATTTCAAGATAATTCCTGAACATTCAAATATCTGAAAATAATATTCTTGTACTTACATTAGGCAGTAAAGAACGACTTAACATTGAATGCATATTTAAACAATTATGAAGCTTGTGTTATATAAAATCCAGCCTTCAATGAATGCAAATATCATGAAGGCTTGACCTTAACTTTGAACAAACAGCAGTTGCAGACAACGGTTTTCATTAATCTTAAAGTGACAGATAAAGAAAAGCCTACTCAATTTTCTGCAGCAGGCTAGATAATTAATCCCAAGGGATTAATTGTACCTCTCTCATCATTTTCTTCTAAAGTTACAATAAGAACTTTTTCAGTATTAATGATAGAATGGGGTTTTTATACAACTACCTTAAAAATTAATAATATTCTTGAATTAACATAAAGTGAAAAAAAAGTAAATCAAAAAATCTTCTTTAATCTATTTCTTGTTTTTAGAATTCAATGAAATCATAACTATTAAGCAAAAATAAATTATGAAAATTTATATTTAAATCCACATTTCAGAGTGTTCATAGCATTCCAAATTGACTTAACTTCAAAACAAACTTCATTTGCAGACAGAGGTGGTAATTCATCTCAATGTGACAGATAAAGATAATGCTCTGGATTTTCTTCAGGAGGAAAGCTAATTAATCCCAAGGGACTCATAGCAGCATTCAGTTTACAATGGGAACATCTTCAGCAGTTATCTCTCTTTGCCAATGCATTCTTATATAAAGTTATGGAATCTACCCCACCACCCCAGCTCTAAACCAGGTGACATAGAGAAACAAACTTAGCTCCAAAATATGTATTTCTGCCTACTGAACTACCATACCAAATTTGTACTTGATTGGGCAACCATAAAAAAAGTTGCCCATTCATTCTTATGCATAGTTAAGGAATCTACCCCACCACCCCAGCTCCAAACCAGAAGACATAGAGAACTAAACTTAGCATCAAAATATGTATTTTTGCCTACTGAACTACCATTCCAAATTTGAACTTGATTGGGCAACCATAAAAAAAGTTATTAGAAAAAAACAGAAAATTTGTGGACGGAAGAGTGACAGACGGACAGACAGACAGACAGACAGACAGACGGACAGACAGAGTGATTACTATAGGGCACCCGCAAATCCTTGCGGGGCCCTAATTAATTTGCTTTTTATTTCAAATCTTTTGGGTTTGGTTTATTACTTGAGTAAAATCAAAATAATTCCGTATATTTTTCCGGACCGGTTTTGACTTTTATCGATGAAAGTGTCATGTTTGACGTCACTGCTGCAGCAGAAGTGCTGGGTGTTGGAAAAAGTATGATAGGCCTATCTCCTAACAATTTTTTATTAAGACCTTTAATTCATATTGTTTAAATATCCTTTCATTACGGTTACAGATTCGTATGAACTTATTTCTATAATACTCTCATCACTTGTAATTGTTAAATTAATGCATTTCGCAAACCTACATAATGTTAGTGATCTGTAAGTAATTTTGGATAAATTTGTTTCTGAATGGATGTAAACATTACAATTTACATGTTAGGCTAAAGGCATTGCTTTGTTTTCTTTTTGTTTTGACTTTTGTTACGTACTGATTTGAAAGTGAAAGTAGAAATCCTGTATGGCAATTGGCGTTTTGTATGGTGAGATCGTTATCAAGTCGATTCTTTCATCAACTTAATGACAAATGTTTGTTTTTATGGCCTATAGATGCATTCAACAACTTGAGTTCAGTGTCACAGTGTGCTTTTTTATGAAGTCCAAGAAGCCCAAAGCTGATAAGACTGGCGATTGTTCCTAAAGCTGATTCTGACAGACAATTGCATTATCACAATATTAAAGGTAAAAATATTGCAATAAAAAATCAAAGTGTACATCTGTAATGACTTCTTTATGACAAAATATTTCCTTATAATTTCTTTTTGTTCCTTTATAATTCTACATTGTTTGCACGGCTTCATCAAAAATAAATTCAACTCAATAATATAGAAGTTTATTCTACATTATAAAACAAATGCACTTTTAAAATATGGAAGGTATGAATAGAGTTTTCTTGCTTTAAAAGCTATGAAACTATACAATAACTTCAGGGGGTAAATTGAATTTTTGAATTTCAGCAAAAAATTAATAATAACAGTGGCAACTTTCAAGGTACATGTGCATGTGCGACTATGTGTTGAAAGGACATCAGATAGCTAATCCATTGAATATTAATACATCTATGTATTCATTGACTGACATTTATAATTTTTTTCCAACACTAGAGAACCTAGTTTCAGGTAAATTGTAAGATATTTAAGACAATTGAAAACATACAAACTTGTACTCTCTCTTTTTGTAGTTTAAGTTTTAGTTATGCTTAGAAAATATCTACTGTGTGAATATTTGTTTTACAGGTTCAATAAACAGTCAGCCTCTCATAAGATCCAAGGCTTGCTTCAAAGTTAAGGTAACTACACACTGTTTAATAGACCTTGTTATATTCTTCCCAACAAAGTCTGGGATATCCTGGAATCACAAAGACTGTTTTTTCTGCCTATTTGTGTCAGAATCTTCTAAATTTTTGGCAATTTGAATTAATATATACTATTTGAACATTCCAAATTCAATTGTCAAAATAAAAAAAATTGCTTTTTATGATTTTATCATGAAGCATATCTTCCAACAGTATAATTGTCTTGCATTAAATTACATCATAGGATTCCACAAAACACCTAGTATAACATATTAGTTTTATCTCGTATCATATCTGTGTCAGTGAATTGGGAATACATTTGTTTGCTGATGATAAATTACTTGAATATAACTTGTAGAATTGATTTTGTAATTTAAGAATCATTTTACAGTAAAACTCGGTTATAGCAAAGTCCTGGGAACCTGTGAATTTAATTCACTCTATCCGTAATTCGTTATATCCGTATAACGAATTCGTATAACCATTATAGCCAATTCGCAATATGCATGTTTTCCTTCAGGTATTACTACCAAATATGTTAGGGAAGCAAATATTATAAAACATATCTTCGATAACTAAGGTTTTATTATGAATTGAATTTTAAATACAAATTCTAAACGGAAATAAAGTCTGTTCAATTTATCAAACTTTTTATAACCTTTAAAAGTTCATTATAAAAGATGTAAATTTCATTACATTTAACCCAACGAGCCTCAAAATCAGTCCGCTACATCCGTAAATTCGTTATAACCGTAAAATTTTACAAAGATTTGTAAAGAATTTTGCCGGGGACCCAGAAAAACTTCGCTATATCCGTGAATTCGCTATATCCGTGTTCGTACTAAACGAGTTTTACTGTATTTCTATTTTTGAAATTTCTGTAGAGACCATTCTGTGCCACAAAGATATTGTTCAGGAAGGGGAGAACTGGTGGATTTGCATTTTTGGTACAGTTCAAAGAGATTTTCAAAATGGTCAGATCAGAGGGAGGACAACTGAAAATATTGAAAGATACAGAAGAAAAAAGAACAAGGAAATATATGGAATAATTATGAAATGGGGAGAATGTACACAATCTTGTCTGAATTTGACCTGTAAAGATTTCCCATTCTTATTTGTATGCTGGAATATCAAATAACTTAATTTTTCATAAATTTACAATAGAAAATACTTG